CTTTAGCGTTAGCTCTGCTGCTAAAACTAGGCTGCTTTGTGCTCTGTGGTGACTAGTGAAAACTCTGTCCGACCTTCCGTGCGGGTGTCTCTGCATGTACCCTGGTGATCCCTCTGCCGCGGCTGCCTCATCTCCTGCCTCTCCTTTGTGGGTGTATATTTACCTGCAGATATGCATTAAACTTCACCCCTTGGGACATAGAAAACAGACGCTCTGTTGTCCTTCCCCTACGGCGCATGCGTCGGTGACTGACTTGTGTGTGTGTGTGTCTATTTTCCCAGCGGCTTGTGTCTGAAATTTCCCCGTTTTCCCGCGCGGGAGAAAACCCACCACCTCGGTGGGGCTGTGGCGGACAACACAAATTTACACAACTTTTCTCTAGGTTTCTGCGATTATAAAAGGGGGTGCGGGTGGTGGGGGGGAGACTTTGTGAGAAAATCCTCTTTTTAGGCATTAAAAAATGCATAGAAAACGATTTAGAATGTAATTTTTTTGAGGACAGCATGGTCCTCAAACAACAGAAGCTTTCTTGGCGTGACCATCCACTGGATAGATGAAGAAAGCTTAGGCATTTGCTCTGGAGCATTAGCCTGTCGTAGGCTTGCAGGGCGGCACACGCATGATGTTTTGGCAGAGATGCTTGAAGATATCCACCAACATTTCAAAGTAAAAGAAAAGGTGACCGTTACAACTACTGATAATGGTTCTAATTTTGTAAAGGCATTCAGTTTGTTTGCGGAGGCTCAAAGAACTATTGGTGGCAGTGGAGAAGAGGATGATGAAGATGACGAGGACGAGGAACAACCTGTCTTCATCAATGTCACAGATATCCTGAAAGAAGCAGAGTCAGAGGAAGATTATAGTCTCCCACCTCACCAGAGATGTGCTTGCCACACCCTCAATCTGGTTGCTACAAGAGACATTGAATGTGCCTTAAGGGAGTCAGAGCCCTTTAAGAAAATATCAAGATCAACTCTTGCCAAATGCCAGGCGTTATGGAACAAGCAGCATAGGAGTACTCAAGCTTCAGATGCCATTAAGGAAAAGTTAGGTTTCCAACTAATAGTCCCTGTTTCAACCCGGTGGAACTCAACTTACCATGCCATGGAGCGTTTGAATTCTTGAATAAAGACACAGGAACATAAACTCCACGAAATCTGTGAGTTGCTGCAGGTGACTCGCTTCAAAGCCACAGAACTAACCTTCATACAAGAGTATGTCCAGGTGAATATATTTTGATATTAACTAAATATGTGCAATGTTTCCATGTCAACATAAATGCAATAACAGTTGTAGTCTTCCAGGTTATTATTATTATTATTATTACTATTTTTAATAATGATGATAATAACCACAACAATAATAAAACTTTGTATTTGTTGTGTCTCTATCAGGTGATGATGCCCCTTGCCAAAGCACTTGATGTCCTACAGTCTTCCAAAATGGCCTACACAGGAGTGTTGGTGCCAACAATCTCAATTCTCCTTGAAAAGATGGAGCAGATGAAGCATGGGATCCACCTACATCACTGTAATCCACTTATAAATGCCATCATCAGTGGGGTTAGAAATAACCCATATATTTTTCAAGACCACCGGTTGCTCATAGCCTCTGCAGCTCATCCAATGTTCAGGCTGACCTATATCCCTTTTGAAAAGAAGACACAGGTTGTTTCAAACCTAAAAGCGGAAGTGAACCAGCTACAAACCCTGGCTCCAAATTTCATGGAAACGGAGCTTGAAGACCCAAGTGATAATGATGATGAAGTGACAGGATACTTTGCATCTGTGAAATGTACAACAGTTCAGAACGAGGTGGACATGTTCTTGCATTCATCTGAAACCAAACTAGTCAGTGCCTTCCAAAACCTGCCATTGATGAAGAAGATTTTCCTCAAATACAACACAGGAGTCCCTTCAAGTGCTGCCTCTGAAAGACTATTTAGTGTCGGAAGCGACATTTTCCGTCCAAAGAGAAATCGTCTTTCTGATTCAAATTTTGAAAAGCTTCTTTTGTGTCGTGTAAACAAACACTTGTTGTGAAAAAAAGTTGAGAGTGGGCCCTACACATAAACCCACACACACTCACCTCACCTCACACCAAATATTTAGAAGACATTTATTTTCACTGTTTGAAGCTATTTCCCTTTCATCAATCTCTGTAACTTACGAATAATAAGGTTCAACCTGGAGAGACTACAAGAGACGAGATGCGTTTAAGAGTTGTTTATTTTATGGATTGAGTTTGTTTATTGGTTTGGAGCTTAGGCCCCGGCTGTGGCCGTGCTCTGAAGAGATCTGCGCCTGGGTGCAGATCATGATCCCCCGGGGCCTAGACACTGGTGGTGGCAACAAGGCAAGGTGAAGGTGAGAGTGAAGAAATCCTGAGGCGGAGGTGGGGAGGAGGTGGTTGCAGCTTGAAGTCCGTTTGGTGAGCTGTGCTCTGCTTTGCTCTTAAACGCTGGCTTGATTGACACGGCTGCGGGGAGTTGATTAAGACAGGCTGAGTAAGGCGTGGTCAAGCCTGGTGTGATAACGTAGGTAGTCTACCATCCTGAACCTCCGCTTAAGCTGCATTTCAACCTGGAGAGACAACAAGAGACGAGATGCGTTTAAGAGTTGTTTATTTTATGGATTGAGTTTGTTTATTGGTTTGGAGCTTAGGCCCCGGCTGTGGCCGTGCTCTGAAGAGATCTGCGCCTGGGTGCAGATCATGATCCCCAAAAAGAGAGCTTGGCTAGCGATGCGTTTGCCATGACTTGGTTGCTGCGTTTATGGAAGGCGCATGGTGTGAGTGACTGCGCTAGAGCTCGGCTCTAGCGCTAGGCGTTGGCACGCGCACGAGCTCGGCTCAAGTGCGCGGCGTCATGTCCGTGCGCGAGCTCGGCTCTAGCGCTAGGCGTTGGCACGAGCTCGGCTCGAGTGCGCGGCGTAATGTCAGTGCGCGAGCTCGGCTCTAGCGCTAGGCGTTGGCACGCGCACGAGCTCGGCTCGAGTGCGCGGCGTAAATGTCCGTGCGCGAGCTCGGCTCTAGCGCTAGGCGTTGGCACGCGCACGAGCTCGGCTCGAGTGCGCGCCGTAATGTCCGGGCGCGAGCTCTGCTCTAGCGCTAGGCGTTGGCACGCGCACGAGCTCGGCTCGAGTGCGCGGCATGCTGGAAATGAGGAGTTGCCACCACCAGGAGATGCATACGTACTTATATGAGAGGAGGCGCTGGGCTGCCAGAACGGATGAATGTGGTAGAGAACCGGGGACCGAGCTCCTGGAGAGATGATTGAGGGAGTCCCAGGCGCATCCGCCCAAGTGGCTGCTCCTATCCGGAAGGAGTGGAGGGTGTAGAGAAAGGAAGAGAAGTTACATGCAGGGAGCAGAGGTTTTGAATTTGTTCAGACCAGGGGGTCGTCAAGGGATTGTTTAAGGAGTAATTATAGTCTATGAATGTTGATAAAATGTCCATAGATGTTGTAGAATGTTAAAGTATCCTGGATCATCACCACGGGCCTTCTAGTTGGACACTAACTGTCCAGACCCTCCTGTATGGCAAGGAAAACTCAGAAAACCCCGTGGGGAAAAAAGTGAGAAACCTTCGGAAGACCCTACATTGAGAGAGGGAATCCACTCCACGGACAGACAGGCTAGTCGTCCAGGACCTAAAACACAGAACAAAGACCATTGCCAATACTCCTTTAAGGATCTTCTTATGAGGGTGGAGCAGTGTGACTCGAAGTGGATTTTAGAGAATGTATTTAATGCCGATGTAGATGAGGCAGTGACAGCAGTACCCGCGATGCTGATGTCCAGAGACTGAGAGTGTGCAGTGAGAGGGAAAGGAGAATGCTGAACTGCTGGTATTTAGAGCGCTGATATTCGAACATGATTCCACTTGGGGAGACTAGAAGGTGAAAATGAGATTCATGAAGTACACTTACCCAGGAAGATTGATGTTCGATAGGAGATCTCTGGACCCCCAAAAACCAACGCACAAGGGCCCGGTCAGAATGAGGGCCAGGGTGCGTCAGGTAAGGCGAAGCTTGAGACAGGCCCGGCGGCAGGAGCCGCACCAGGAGACCAGGAGAGAATATGCCTGGGGAACATGAGAAGGAGCACCGCCTACAGCCACTCAGAGTGCACGCAAACCGTGGCGGGCAGTGCTGCACACCAAAAGCCAATGAGTGCGGCCTGGGGAAGATAGTCGGCCAGGTTTGAAGGCCACGCCGAAAAGTACTCATGTAGTCTTAGCAGGCCAGCGTTGCAGCAGGCCACCGTCGCGGCGTCGTAGCAGAGCTTTGGTGCGGCGTTGCGGCATCACGTTCCTGCAAAGCTGAAAAGAGAAACCTCGAACCACTATCACTCGAGTGAAAAGGACCAACGGGCAGTGTCAGACCACGTCTTCAGTCAGACCACGTCTTCAGTCAGACCACGTCTTCAGTCAGACCACGTCTTCAGTCAGACCACGTCTTCAGTCAGACCACGTCTTCAGTCAGACCACGTCTTCAGTCAGACCACGTCTTCAGTCAGAGTCAGACCACGTCTTCAGTCAGAGTCAGACCTGATCCTTCGATGCCGGCTCTTCCCGTCCTTGTGAAGCAGAACTCTCCACTGGTCCCACGATGAATGGATGAGAGCACACGAATGCGTCGAAGCGTGGCGTCGAGAATGCGGCAGGAGGCGGACACCGACGTGGCGTCAAACAGCGGCCACCGGCGTGGAAGCGTGCGCCGACCGACGTACGGCGATGAAGCGTGCGGCCGCCGACGTGCTGCGATGAAGCGTGCGGCCGCCGACGAGCTGCGATGAAGCGTGCGGCCGCCGACGAGCTGCGATGAAGCGTGCGGCCGCCGACGAGCTGCGATGAAGCGTGCGGCGTCGTTGAGGCGTGCGGCGTCGAGGCGTGCGGCGTTGTTGAGGCGTGCGGCGTCGTTGAGGCGTGCGGCGTCGTTGAGGCGTGCGGCGTCGTTGAGGCGTGCGGCGTCAAAGCGTGCGGCGTCAAAGCGCGCGGCGTCAAAGCGCGCTTTGAGTCGGAGGAGTCGAAGCATGGAGGAGGAGTCGGAGGAGTCGAAGCGTGGAGGAGGAGTCGAAGCGTCGTCGAAGCGTGCGGCCACCGACGTGGCGTCGTCGAAGCGTGCGGCCACCGACGTGGCGTCGTTGAAGCGTGCGGCCACCGACGTGGCGTCGTCGAAGCGTGCGGCCACCGACGTGGCGTCGTCGAAGCGTGCGGCCACCGACGTGGCGTCGAAGCGTGCGGCCACCGACGTGGCGTCGTCGAAAGCGTGCGGCCACCGACGTGGCGTCGTCGAAGCGTGCGGCCACCGACGTGGCGTCGTCGAAGCGTGCGGCCACCGACGTGGCGTCGTCGAAGCGTGCGGCCACCGACGTGGCGTCGTCGAAGCGTGCGGCCACCGACGTGGCGTCGTCGAAGCGTGCGGCCACCGACGTGGCGTCGTCGAAGCGTGCGGCCACCGACGTGGCGTCGTCGAAGCGTGCGGCCACCGACGTGGCGTCGAAGCGTGCGGCCACCGACGTGGCGTCGTTGAAGCGTGCGGCCACCGACGTGGCGTCGTTGAAGCGTGCGGCCACCGACGTGGCGTCGTCGAAGCGTGCGGCCACCGACGTGGCGTCGTCGAAGCGTGCGGCCACCAACGTGGCGTTGTCGAAGCGTGCGGCCACCGACGTGGCGGCGTCGAAGTGTGGCGTCGAAGTGTGGCGTCGAAGTGTGGCGTCGAAGTGTGGCGTCGAAGTGTGGCGTCGAAGTGTGGCGTTGAAGTGTGGCGTAAGGCCAAAGCAATGGGCAATACGAACAGCACAGGGGGGCTCGGCCACGCTCCGACCAATCAGAGCAGCTCATCAGACACGGACAGCCCGGAAGCAATGCAGTGGGCAAAACTTACAGTCCACTGTCAATTAGACAGAGCGAAGGCCAATGCAGACGACAAATGTTATAGTCCATGGTTACAACTGACAGCCTGAAGGTCAATGCAGTGGGTAAAATGTTCAGTCCATAGTAAAACGAACAGCCTGGAGGTCACTGCAGTGTGTAGAATGTTCAGCCCATGAGTAAAACGGACAGCCAGAAGGCCAACACAGTGGTTAAAATGTGCGGTCCATGGTGAAAACGGACGGTCTAAATGCCAATGCAGATGGTAAAACGAACAGCCTGAAGAGCAATGCATCGGGTAAAAACACAGCCTGCGAGCCAATTCGGCGGGATTAACTGACACGCCGCAGTTCAGTACAGTTCATGGTAGTGCGGAAAACAACGAAACCGACACTGTACCGTGAGTGGAGGCAGGGAGAAGGGTGGACAGCGGCAGGCAGACAGAAGTCCCGTTCCCGGTATGGAAGCGGCAGGGTGCGCGGAGTAACGCCTGGCCGCGAGCAGCAGCGGCCACGGGGAGACGAGCGGCAGCAAGTCCGCAGGAGAGGACCCGCGGTGAGCCGCGGTGGAGACACAGCGACCATGGCGCGCAGCCCCCAACATGTGATGTGGAAGAGGAGCCGCGACCATGCAGGACGAACAATGTGCGAGGCATGAGTAAACAAAGTGACGAAGAACAACCCATTGCAGCTTGAAGTCCGTTTGGTGAGCTGTGCTCTGCTTTGCTCTTAAACGCTGGCTTGATTGACACGGCTGCGGGGAGTTGATTAAGACAGGCTGAGTAAGGCGTGGTCAAGCCTGGTGTGATAACGTAGGTAGTCTACCATCCTGAACCTCCGCTTAAGCTGCATTTGTATGATGGTTGTTACTATTGTTTTAGTAAACAGATAAGAGACAGTTCTTAGCACAATTCATATGTAAACTTTTTTTTGTCCAATTTCAGAGGCCATTCTTGCTTAAATACAGCCAATAATGGCACTTATTCACATTTGTTATAATGTATATTGTTATAAAAACAGTAATTTGTGATGGCTCATTGTTTTTGGTGTTTTGGGCTATTGTTCAATAAATATCTACAACATTTTTACCTTTATCTGACTGACAGTTTATCTCAAATAAGAAGATAAGCTTTATTAATCTCACACAGGAGAAATTTACATGTCACATTTGGCATGGATAAAACACTCAAGAATTGTGCAAAAAATAAGAAATGAGCAAACATGTTAATTCAGGAAAATTGCATGAACTGCAGTTTGTTTAATTGAAAATAGCTTCTATATAGCAAGCTACTTTTGACAGAATTTTGTAACTTAGCTTGCTACATTTGTATGGGTGGTAGCTTCTGTGTAGTGAAGCTGAATTTATTGTAGAGTAGCTTGTAGCTTAGCTCACTACACAAATCAAGTAGCTTGCCCATCACTGGCAGCAGCTTCTGCCTCCGCAACTGCTACCGCCTTTTCACAGTTCAACATATGTAAATTAGCTTCTAGTTCAGCTTTCTGTTTAATCATGAATGCTTCTTTTTGAGAGAATGAGAGTAGTGCACGTGCTGCGTCTGCTTTAGCTCTGGCTTTTAGGGCTGCAGAGCTGACAGATGAATAAACAGAAGGGCGTCTGGATTTATGTGAACGTATAGACTTGGCCTGTGTGTCCACATTGTCCGTGTTGTCCAAGCTCTTTGCTGTGCTTTCTACTTCAACATTGGCTGTATTTTTTGCTTGCTCATAACCATCTTCTTGTGGAACGGGCAGAAGATACTGTTGTCCTGACCGTAGACTCATGGTTTCTTCAGTGCGTTCTCCCGCGTGGTAGCTTTGCCTGCTGCGCTAGTGTCTTTTTACTTTGCTGTCCTCGCCCCAAGCTAATGTCTTTGCAAGGCTAGACTGCTAGATAACGGTGCTCCAATAAACAGACTTCATTCTTGTTCTTTGATTTATTGAAGAATGGCCTCAACCATTGTCCTCTTAGACCAGGGGTGTCAAACTCATTTTGGTTGAGGGCCGAAAAAAAATTAAAGGGCTGATCAGGGGCCGAAAGACGAAGTGGGTTTCATTTATAATACTTTTTTAATAATATGAAGGTATCTATATAAATGACTTGTTTCACATTAGTTAAATTGGATATTCTTTTCTGATCGACTGAGTTCAGTTACTGTGGACTGAACCAAAACTGGACCAAATATTGAAGGTATAAGGGTGAGGGACGATTTTCGGCTGGATCATCAAGACTATTGGTCCTCCCAACTGTCAATCATTCTGGTGATTTGTGCTCGTCAAATAAGACCAGAGAGATTTGTTCAAAAAGTGGGGAGGGCGGTTCTTTCCTAAGAAAATCGGGGAAATACTCCTTCATACCTTTGAGAAGAAATGTAATTGAAGACTCATAAAAAAAAAAAAAACATAACAATACTAACTTCCCATTACATGTTGGCTTAACATTTCTTATGGAATGAAATGTTTGGTTGTTTTCTTGAGAAAATTAGTAATGGATAACCTTCCATTGTCAACTATTACTATCGAGGCTGCTATTTAATATAGTCTCAGGGGCCACTGGAAATGGTTTCGCGGGCCGGATCTGGCCCCCGGGCCTTGACTTTGACACCTGTGTCTTAGACCAACCGTAAAACTGTAATACAAACAAATGTCGCGTTAGCTACGAGGTAACCTCCAGCTCTCCGTTATTACAGGCTAATAACATGCTAACAAGCAACTCTGCTCTTAACTCAAACAAAAGTTAACGAAAAAATACAATTTACGCTCCAAACACGCACAGAAATACATATTCACACACACAATACTTACAGACAAATATTGTCCAAAGGCAACATGCTTTTTGTGGGGAAAATGCACTTAGGATGCGAACTGTTCTGTGTCGCGTTCGGCCATCTTGGAATTCTCATGCGCGGCTCTCAAGATCACCCGAGAACTGACACTTCGCGGCCAGAGGGGGGCACTATTTACAAGGCTATAACTTTCAATGGGCAGAACATCCATAGTAAGACAAACAAAATCGGTGCATGTCATGTTTGTATCATAGACAGTATAACAAACTACTACCATTGGATATATTAAATTATCTACAGACATTTAGCTAATGCACAGCAGAGATATTCACATATAACGCTACTCACTGGGCACACTGAGGCCTCCCGGGACAGGCTTCTCGCTCTGCATGGCCCTCTCAAGCCTTTGACCTCAGGACTGTGCACTCAGCTCAGAACCGGTCCCCACTGCTCTGACCGGGACCTTAGACCCTGCCATGTGCCGCGCTGCCATGTGATTTCTCCCGCAAGGACTTGTTCTTGAACCCCCACGTTCCCGAAGTTCCCCATCGCCACTCTGCTCTTTATTCAGTAAAATCTGTGTGATTTGTGAGCTGCACACGGAGGTGAGGTTTGAAGGTAAACAATATTCTGTGCTCCATATCCCATACTTTGTTCAGTAATAATTCAGTAATATGTTGACACACACATTTTGTAAAATATTTATTTGAAACAAGCTAAAATGACATAAATATAGCATTATGAAATAGTATTGTATCCTCGATCTAGCTCAAGATCAACAAGTTGCTGACACATGTTTATCCCTGGTGCAGTGGAGGTGACACTTCTCAGATTTTCTGCAGAGGACTTTAACAAGGAACGAGGACACTAAGGGCATGGCCTCCTCCTGTGGATCTGAATCACAGTTCATCTGAAAGATATCACAGAAAGGTGAATCACACATGAGTTTACAGAAAATTGCTACATTTCTGATGAATACTTTTGCTAAAATTAATACACTTATAGACATATTATTTTCAGCTTTAGGAAGTATAACCATAGCCAAGACTCGGATGTTGAGGCTTGGCTTGGTCAGGATCTTTGCTATTTGTTTCATTTAGTGCATGTTTTGGGGATAGTTTGCTGAAAGAAAACCTAACCAGACATGTAGGAGCAATATGCAAACAGCACAGTGTAATGTCATCATTAGGAAACTTCCAATAATGACACATGATACAAAAATTATGTTCTTATTTTATCTAGAGGCAGGTTTGCTGTGTAATAGTGTGCAGTGTTTCACTAATTGAAATGGTCCATCACAAATTCACAATGACATTATTAACAGTAACTATAATATTTAAGAAAGAAAACAAGTTTTAGCTTATTAGCTATGAATCTTGTGCCTGCATATGAGTCCTTAATAAAGTCTAAATTAATAAAATAAAGTATTAATTCCAGTTGAAATGCCTGAGAAATATCAGGAGCAGTGTTTTACCTGAGAGAAAGCTTTGAGGAACAGATCGGTGTGTGAAAACCCAGACAATGATGTGTCACTTGGTCGACTCTTTAAACTCTTGTGATAAGCCTAGAAATAAAGTAAATGGTAAATGAATTGGCTAACTTGATGTTTACTTACTCTACGGTGACTGTGATGCGTTTTCTATCATTTCATTGATTTTCAAGACCTACAGAATATTGTGTGCTAAGACTATATGTGAAATATGATATATTCTGAAAGACTGAACTGTCTACTTTCATCAGCAAAAATAAGTTGGTTTCTAGCTATTTTTGTTCTCCTGTAATCCCCAATCAAATAGAGGGAGGTTTGACAGAAATCACAGATCTCAGACAAATGAGTCAAGAGCCACCATCTCTCAAAAGTGAATTCATTTTGAATCATTTGAATTGATTTGTTATATTTGAATTTCTCTCCCACAGATGCCTCATACCTGTAGTGCAATATCCAAAGCCGAATACTGCACCCACACTTCCTGCTGCTGCGCGATGGATAGAGACCTGCCTCCAGCGCCGCTCCAGTTCGAGGCTCCGAGGTAATGCTTCCACACACAATCTGCCACCGTACGTACACTGTCACACTGGCCATGCACTGTAACACAAACAACATGGAAACATTGCCTCTAAACAAGCCATTAACTTCCCCATGTCATGGTACTCAGTCCTTGATCCTGACAGAAAAGCTAATCTTGTTTTTACCATCGCCAAGTATATTGTAGAACTTTTAGACAGCCATTTTTACAGGAGCAAAAGGTTTTTAATGTGATCCTGATTTGGATTAGAATGTTGCTGCACTCATGGACCTTAAAAAAAAAAAAAGTGACTGTCTACATCAAATTAGAAAACATTTTCACTGGATGGGAATGGTTTTGTTAGATTTCAATACATACTTTTTTGACAGTTTGAATATTAGTTTTATCAAGGAAAATTTCCTGTACACATATAAACCATGAAGTCATAGCAGCTTTATTTACACACCACTCCTGAGTGCAGACAGGTGCCATTCTTTAGCTTTTTGAGACAACAGTAAGTTACTATCATTGCCCCTCACTGAGCGCCTGTTAGGTCACCTTTAATCATGGTATTGTTTTAAATGTATTGTATATATTGTCAAATATTTTAAGGTGGGAATTATTGAAATAATGTAAGGTGTTCAGAGGATCTTTAAAAATGTATTAATACAGAAACTTTTTATAAAACGCATAAGAAAGTTCTAAAGACACAACTCACTGTCAGGAAGCAGCAGGTGCAGGATGTCTTTTGCAATGAGAAAACCAATTACACCATAATTTATCGCCCTGTAAGATGAAAACAGTTTAAGTATACGGTTCATCTACAAAAGATGTTTAATTGATAATGTTTGATTATAGTTACCGTGGATAAGTGGGATGAAAAAGAGGAGGAACAAAAATTCCCAGAGGAAAGACAAGTTCATTTCCATTGAGAACCGGCCTGACGGACAAGCTACAGAGGAAAAATAGTTCAAAATACCAGTCAGAAAATGCTTATCTCTGGTACCTTTCTTCACTGCTGGAGACAGTGTGTCATGGTCTCATTTTGTTGCAAAGTATAGATTAAACTCCAGGAGTCACACAAGCAAAAGTGTGTTACTGCAGATTCAGATGAATTGTTTTTGTGCAGAAATAAGTCAATTTCTTAGACCAGGAACCTTTTCTGCCTTTGTGTTTGTAAAACAGTTAAAACTGGTTTATATTTCCACATGTTGCTAGTGTCTAAACTACATTTTTGTGTGTACATTTGAATCCCACTTACATGTCAATGCTTTCAGTTTGCTCATTCAGAAGCTTTATTCTCCTTTTCTGCCACAAAGAGAGAAGCTGCGCGTAGTTCCAAAAGAAGTTTGAGCCCACGGTAATCTAGTTACATTAGTTCAGATTAGTTAATATATTGCATTGAGTATGACCGGAGATTACAGATTGGTAACACAGTATACCTCAGTAAAAAACCTGTCAAGTTCTTTAATTGTTTTATTAGATGTCCACAATTTAGGAGTGAAGGAGTGGACCTGAAAAACATTCTTATTGAGACATCACACATACATGATGTTAATTATTTGTTCTTACCTTTTTCATTACAGCCTTGTGGCTCTTTTGATTGTTCCAATGAAGACCGTGGAGTTTGGTCTTGAGAGAAGACAAGATGTTTTCTATGATCTCCGTGGCCTGTAAAGGTAATGTTACTAGTATTTCCTCTTGTATTGAATTGATTTTATTTTTCATATTCTGCAGCGGTATACCCACTTCAGCGTGTGGTATCCTCTTGCTTAGATGGTGTGTCAGAATGTAGTCAAATCCTCGCTCAGTCTCCAGCACACAGCTCTTCCAACGAGGCTGCACCTGAGATAGCACAGCACTCTTATCTCCTGTGCTCTAGAGGCCAAATCCTGTAGCACAAATGTCTTACTGTTTCACTAAATCTGGAGTCCAGCGCTGGCATCATGGTGTGTAGAAGGTTGAAGAGCATAAAGGTGTGAAGCGGACCTCTGAGGGTGAAAACACAGGTGTAAAAAGGGTTATATACATACTGTGTTGTGTCTTTAATATTCTGGACCTGTTGCTGTAATCTGGCCTGTTTATCCATTTTCTGATCGTCTGGGACATTTTGACAATGTAAGGTAGATTATGGACAAGTACTGGCTCATCTTCAGTCAGAGTCACTGCTTCAAACGCAGTCTGTAGACAACTCAACCAATCAATCAGAGGAGCCTGGCTCTGCAAACATTCATGATAAATAAAAGAAAAGAGAGAATAAAGTGTTAGGGGTTTTCTCTTTACCTGCAGCTCTCGGACTGTTATGCGCTGGTACAGCTGTCCTTTGGCGAGCCGATACTCCTGCGGCGCTGCTGCCACAGCCAGTTCAGACGAAAGAGAGATGAACAATCCCACATGAGTCATTCGGCTGCTCACCGGTGCCCCCAACAGAGCCAGATACCTCTCACACATCCAAAAGAATTGACGGAGGATCTTTGAGACAGGTAATTGCACAGGGTATGTTATGCATGTACGTTCATGTGTGGTTCATCATGACTAACCTCGGCCTTTACATCAGACTTTTCAGATTGACTGTTCCATTCAAAAGGAATCAACAGATCTGGTTGGTCTATCTGTGGTCAAAGTGAAAGGATTATTAACACCTTGACCTGTTCAGACGACCTGTTCAGTCGTCTTCAGTCGGGCATACTGGCCTGTATATATTTTCTTGAAGTTGTTTCATTTGGGTGTTTTCCCACAAGGAGGTTGAAGAAGGGAAATGTTCCATAATTTCTCATAAGCTGTCCCAAAGTGGAATTAAAATCTGTCTGGTTCCAGTGGCCTGATACGGCCCAGCCTCCCAGCTGTAGAGAGAGAATGCATCTGTTTTCATGTTTTTAAATCAGAGAAGAATAAAAAGCACTCACTTTTTGAATGAGTGTGAGAAAGGGCTCTGCCCCAGCCGTCTCGATAGACTTGTTGTCTAAACAGGAGTGGTAGAACGTCTGGACTTTCTGTTCTGCAGAGCTCATTGGACTCTCATGAGAATCTAACAAGCATTAATATTGAGATGTTATATTTATATTTTTCATATATTCAGTGAGTGTCCTGCTGAGTTGTGTACCTAAAGTATCCCCGAGATACTGCAGAAGCAGTATTTTCCTGTCAGTACTTTTTTCTTTACTCAGCTGCCGGTCCATCTGCTTTGGAACTGGTCTTTGGCCCTGAGGGAAACCAGGGCGTTCTGTGTCCCTCTTCAAGTCAGAGCCACAGGTGAACAGGTAGAAGTCACAGGGTCGTGTTAAAGGGTCTGCGGATACAGACAGATGAGCTGCAGCCTGTCTGCAGGCATCGGACTCACACGGCCGGACTACAAGAGACAACAAGAGCCTCTTGAAATACTTAATGTATACAGTATACACTGAATTGGTGCTGAATTGCTGAGTGGTTTTACCTGGCCCTGCATGTCTTTTTCTTGTGGTCTGAAGATGCTGCACACCGTAGATTAGTCCAATCATTATAATACAGAGACAGAAGCCTGCAAAGATGAGAGTGAACAGTCTTCTCTGCTGATGTCTTTGGGGCTGTGCCTCGTCTTCATCAGACCGGTGTCTCTGTTCGAGCTCCGAAGAGCTCTCTGTTAGCTGATCCTCAAACAGGACATCTAGTTGCATCTGCGATTGTGATGTTTGTTAAAAAAAACAAAACAAAAAAACACACACACACGGATCACTATCCCTCTCAGGCCACGTTTTTACGATCTAGCCTGGAAATTATAGTGCACATTATGCATTGGGTTTCTCTCAAAATAACAATCATCATTCAAATGACGAATTAAATTATCATATTAAACTGTTGACTGGATTCTTGTGCTATACCTTTTATAATCAAATGGAAAATAAGTGAAATTGACCTTACCTCCAGCTCTGTTTCAGGCATAATTATCATAGGATTATTTTTCTCTTCTGTTGCATTGTTTGTCAGATAGATTCAATCAATAAGCAGCTGTCATCTGGGCTCACTATCTCTTGTCACTCTTCTTTGCTTCGACGATGACAAAAACTCTTCAGCCTTTGTTCGAAGTCATCTCCAAACTTTTATAATCACGCAGTTTCCTCAGAAGTGCCATCAAAATCCTCCAGCAGAGCACTGACTAGCCCGAGGACTTCGCCTTCATGTCCTCTCCATATTCAGGAACCCCCAAATAACAGCCTTAGGTAAGTCCAGGCCCACACAGGAATATAACAGGCCCAGTGCATTGTTGTGATAGGCCGAGGGGGTAGCACAGTTCTCAGTAAAGTACTTCATCAGTAAACAAGGCCAAATGCACAGGCTGTCGTCATTATCAGTGCTGCACATGGCTGTTGACGACTGATAGAGTTGAAAGCCACGAGGTGTTACAGTTGCTGCGCGTCACAGAAGGGGGACACTTACTTCATATGATTCTGCCTTTTTGGTTTGCTTTACTCTGTTTGGCCATTGCAATAATTTATATTCAGAATACAATACTGGTGAAATTTCACACGGTTTGGCTGTGCAGTGTTGACACATTAATAATGATATTGCATTTGTTTTATATTGCATTCAGACGCTTTGTATGCTATTATTATTCGCTGTGGGCCGCTTGACAAATGCGAGGCAACCAGTACCTGTCATTGGCCTCTCAGACCACCACAAACAATTGGAACACATACAGCACTGATACTAGGCAACATGGGTGAAGTGTCTCGCCCAACAACGTGCCACTTTACAGCAGAAGCCACACAACTGGTACCTATTACCAGAAGTCCCCTGTCACACAACACTAAGTAGACCCTGTCCTGCCTCACTTCAGAGGTCAGACAGGATCTTGCTTTCACATACAGATGTAACTGTAATGTGTGGCCGTTATATTTTATATAAATGCTTCAAGTGTTGTTTTCGTTCAAATGTGGCACAGACATTAGATAGTCACGATTTTTTACTAAATGGTATTGTATTGTTTGGAAATAAATATAGAGTCAAATTGTATCAAATTAAAAGTATGTATCTAGATACACATTTCATCCTATGTATCGCGATACCCAGCACTAATGGAAACACAAAATAAATATATTCAAGGTGGGGTGAAAAAATTTGGATAATTTTTTCAGAAATGTATTTTGTCCCAGCACAATCTTTAGTTTTAGAAAAACTGAAGTATAGGACTAAACAAATCTGTCAATTTGCCATCAAGAGATCAGAGAATCAAACAGTTCTAAAACAGGAAATGCAATCATAACACATTGGAGCCATTAGACATTTGTATAAACAAATTACACATTTGAGAGAAAGGCAGTAGATATGACTAGTTTATTACAGTATTTTGTTGTGGATTGAAAGGTTGGTCCATCTTTAAGTTCTTCTTGGATAGTACACGCAACCCCTTTTTAAATTGGTTCCACAAAACACACATAAAAAACACTCCATAATAGCAGGTTTTTATTTTATTTAATACAGCCAAAAAGCGCAGGTTTAGGCTACATTATCTTTTTAATGTACAAATCCACAGATATGAAAACACAATTTATAAAATGTCACAAAAAATAAAAGTAATGGCAAAGGCATCTTGATAGTCACATAATCTCATGATACAGAACTGATAATAAAACAGGCAGCTGCTACAGCAATCAGGAGAATGCTACCGTCTACAGCCAGCAGATAGAGCTGAATCGTATTGTGGTTCTGCTTTGGTTGTATGAAAGCATTAACAGTTTGACAATAGAAAAGTTATTTTGCAAAGAAACAGTTGTGAAAAAGGCACACCGCCTTATGAACAGATAAAATTACTTTAAGTAGGAACACAACATAATAGAGTACTAATAAAACATTACATATTCACCAGAATAGTGGTACGATCAAAATACTGGGTTCATAAAAATAAAGACAACGGTTAAGTTTCAATAGACCTTTTCCTACCAAATATTTGGTCTTATGAGATTGATTCCTTGAGCGTTTTAACATTGCAATAACAAGTGGTTTGAAAAGAAGCATACACAAATGTATACAATAAAATAGTTAAAGCAATTATGGAAAATGCTTATAAAACATGACCAACATTTCAAATCTTCGATAGGTCTCATTAATGCCATGCAATGCTCTAGCAACGTTTTCTATAATTGTTCGTAATGAGAAAATCTGTGCTTTTCATTTGTTCATACGTTTGTTTGTCAATTCTTGTTCTTTTCACCATGCATCGCAAATGTAACAACAATGAATTTTCTTCTCCAGGTATATTTTGTCTTTAGTTTTAATCTCAACAGCTGGTTTTTGTTTCTAACCAACTTTACATCACAGCAAGAGCAACATTCAAAAATGTACACTGATTTGCAGATATTTTCGTTGGTCCGCGACATCAGGCTGAAATCCAACACGCGACATTAGACAAAGGCAACTTATATTATAGGAGTGTTCTTTTGATCAAACCTTTTGTGCAAGTTATGCTTTTTAGAGTAAACATACAAGTGGCACCGGAGAAGCTACCAAGCACTAAAAAGCCACACTGCGGAACATCCCAGGTTTGTGGCCCAGAAAACATTATACAAAACACTTATCGATAAATTAATACTGAGAAATTCACGGTTGTCTGACTTTTCACTGAAGATGCCATTTCAGCGGATCAAGAGTTTTTTATGAATAATAACGGCCGGTCAAAGTCAGGTGAAGCAAACTCGCTGACAATAACGTGCCCATTTTGTAACCATCTCTTACCAAGATCATCAAGAATAACAGGATAGAATATTTATTTTTATGGAAAATCCATGGATTCACAAGCGTCTTGTCTGTTTTTGAACTGCTCTTATTAAGTTCATTCTCTTTATTTACTGGTTGGATTGTTCCGCAGTAGGTTTTAACAGCTTGCTTAGAGTTTTGACATGTTCATAAAAGGGACACCGAGCCAATGCAGTACATTACTTCTGCACTGTGGTGAGACAGGGAAATACTACAGTAACTCATCCATCCTCTGGTTCAGCCACGTTCACTTACTCCCTGTGCGCTTTCAAAGGCAGATCTGATTTGGTTCAGGTTCACGATGACAGCTCTATGCTGCTTGCTTGGCTCTCTGAGTGTGGCACTTCATGCACAGGATCCGGCCGTCCAGAGGGTAGCAGCCGTTCTCATCAGCCTCGATGGACAGGGGCCGCGCACAGTCCTGGGAACAGCAAATTGCAATTCAATATACCAACAAATTACAAGAAGTAAAAACAAAACCACAAGTTGATAATACATAAAAAAAAAGAATCATGAATATATTTTGTTTGTCTTAGCAGATAGAGAATGAGAGCTGATTGGCTGAGTCAAACAGAAGCAGAAATAAGTGGTTTAATTATTACAGATGACATTCAGTGTAATTTTATAAACTCACAGACACAAATATAATGAAGGCACACAAGGTTCAGTAGGTATTTTTTCAAATTCTTTGTTAAAAGGAGCTATACCCACTTCTGCTAGGTTTGAATGTTTAGCACCGCCCACCAACTCACTCACAGGATTTTCATTTCCCCTCCCACGGAGCCATCTAGTTGTATTTGCGATCTGATACATATGCAAACATTAGCAAGAGCGCAACTTAAGCAGTACAACAATCACTGATGAAATGGTACAAAAGCAACGCACTGCTAACAAAATATACAACTGAAAGATTACCGCTAGTTTCGCATCTGAATGTGGTCCGAGCATTGATAGTCTGAGGCGGTCCCGCTGCCGCAGGTCTCTCCCATAGACTGTAAGTCTCTCCAGAGGATACAATGTAAGCTAGCTATGTTCACCCGGTATTGATTTCTTCTTTGATCATTAATTCGCTTTAGTTCCCCCTTCTCTTCCTCACTGTTGCATTGTTCTGGCTGTTTTGCTGAGTCTGCAGTTACAGCCAGAGCAGGTATATAGGCACTGTCTGCTCTTGTTTAGCAGCGCTGTAGAAGATAGAGGACGCAGCCTCGTTCTGTGAGTAGAGGAGAGCTGGCGTCACGCCAAGTCTCTACTCAGCACTTTTTACGGCCTGAATTCATACACAAGCTCAATCAATGATCTTAATTTTTCAATTAAATTACGGATTATAATACAACTTGTATGTAGAAATAAGCCTTTTTATGACATCATAAAAATAAAAATAAATTGGGTATAGCTTCTTTAAGAATTTGGACAGGAATCATAAAATAGTAAAAAATCTCAAATCTCTTGACTTTTGTCTCTTACCTCACAACGATAACACTTCAGATGAAAGTTTCTGTCGAGGGCCACCACTCGCACAGTTTCCTCGCTGCCCGGAGCTGGAATAATGGGCTCATTGCAGCTCACGCACAGAGGAGAGAAACGCCTGCAAAAGAAAGATTTTGACATTCAGAAGAGAAATACTCTTCGATAGATTACTTTAGTTTAACGTTCAATGGTCGATTTTCTGATAAAATAAAATATTAAGATCTCTTAAGATCACTAAAATTGCCATGTTGAGATGATTGAGCAAATCTTTTGGCATTTCCTGTTCATGAACTTGAAATTATATTTGTAGAATTTAATTAGAAGTAATCGCGGGGGCTATATTTGTGTGTATGTTATACTAGTACTTTTATTTATGTTGTCTTTGGTTCAAGTATACACATGGCGCATGAGAAGCACTAAAGATTTCACAAAATAAATGGTGAACAGCGTTATATACATTTGGGGGAAAAAACAATAAATATTCTATACGACTTGTGTCATTATTGGAATGTCTTCCAAGGATCCCAAGATGTACACAAATATGTTTCCCAACATAAATAAGATAATTGTTTTAACAATGCTCTCAAACAGAGTTCATTTTCTGTAGAGCTATAAAAAGGCCCTCTGTCCCTCTGAAGTTATAACACCATATTTATTGTCATGAAGAGTGGGCACCTGTGGTAGTCCTGTACACAGTAAGGGTTGTTGTTGTCATCTGTGATGAAGGGCGCCCCCTCTAGGACACAGGAGCAGGTACTGCAGCGGAAACAATGGGAGTGGAAACACTGGCCCACAGCTTTGAGCACGCGGTCTGTGATCCTCTCCCCACATCTGGAGCACACCGCCAGAGAATTCTACACACGTACAACAATTAGATATGCATGTTCAGAACTTATATCTTTACTTATAACTTTCTATCTTTATGAAAACTTAATAAATAGGGGCGAAAAACAGTGACTTTTGCCTCTCACCATGTAGCAGTCTTCACACTCAGGGGAGCCATCTCTGTCGTAGAACTGCATGCCCTGCAGGGGGCGATGGCAGCTTAGGCAGGAGAAACAGTTGGAATGAAAGAGTTTGTCCATGGCCCTCACTGCGGGTTGTGAACGGGACAACGAATCTCCACATTTTCCACACACCTCTGATAAGACAAAAACAATATACAACTTTAACTTCACATATTTATAGTTATTAAGGTGGACATTTTACTGGTCTGCTTCCTCCGTTGCTTCACTTGATCCTATAATAACATGGATATTCTAAGCCTTAAATAATTACATATTTATTATGATCAGAAATTTTATAATAGGGACATGCTCAGGTCATTTTAACTTCACAGCTCATCCCTGTGACTAAAATCATGTTTGGAGCAGAGTTCAAAGTTTACAATAACAGGATAAAATCAATATGGGGTTAGAGTTGCGATTGCTTTTATTGCTCAACTCTAATAGGCCACTGTCAGTGATTACAAATTTTATTAAATTGTTTAAGCCAAAGAGCTAAAAACTCATACTTGCCCATCTCCTGGACTGATAGAAAATTTAAGGTATAGATGATCGTCTATACCTAAATTGGGTATATCCCAACACCAAACCTCCTGGCCATGTACCTGTCGGAGGAGAGGTGATGACTGGAGCGTGTGCGTCCATGTTTTTGATGAAATCCTGCGTCATCTTCTCCAGCTCCTCCACCTCCCTCATGTTCAGAGGAACGCCTCCAATTTGACCTGTGACAGAGGGCTGAAACAGGACGCGGAAGTTCATCACATATTCTTGTTTTTAATTAAATTATTTATTGAGAATGTAACTTTTCTGCCTAATTCCTTGGCATTGTTTTGTCTGAAATCTCACTAAGCCTTTTCCAAATCTGTGGCGAGATTAGGCTCTTTAACAGCAAGACTGACAAACACTTTTAAAGATCACATATTACGCTTTTCAACTTTTCTATGCTTTAAACATCATTACAGTGCTAAATAATTAGGGTCTTAATCTGGATCGAGGACATAAGGCTCTATGTTATGGATCGCCATTGTTGGAAAGAGTTTATTCTCAGGACTGAAGTGACTATGTACCGGCAAAAGCAGAACAGTTAGCATTCACGCTGACTTGTTTACCTAACTCAGTGATGAGCAAAATATTGGACCTTTTATGATAACAGAAGTTACATAGTGCCCATTTGAACGACATTTGTGTCAATATTTTGGACTCTACTCTTGAAATACTCATAATGATGCATACCGTTGACGAAGGGGGAGATTTCATTGGCTTGTTGAAGGACACGGGTGGAGGGGTCACTGTCTTGGTCAGAGGCGCAGCAGCAGTGTTTTGGTTTGCGTTGAGTTGACTACCAAACAGGGATCCTCGAGTTTGATTAGAGGGAGGAACAGTGGTGGTATTCTTGTTGAAGGGACTAATCAGAGCTGGAGGTGCAGCTGGAGCCATCGGAGGTGCAGCTGGAGCCATCGGAGGTGCAGCTGGAGCCATCGGAGGTGCCGCTGAAGCCATCGCAGGTGCCGCTGGAGCCATCGCAGGTGCCGCTCTAGGAGGATGAGAGAAAGCGCTGGTGGCTGGAGGAGGTGGACTGGCCTTTTGTGTGCTGCCATTGCTATTCTGGCTTAAACTCTGGTTCAGTTTTTGTGCGATGGAGGCGGCTGAAGTTGCAGGTTTGCCTCCAAAAGCGGTTTTGGGAGCTACAGGGGGGGCTGAGGGCCTGTTGGTCCTGGCTTTGAGCTCTTCAGCCCAGGGAGCAGGAGGTGGGCGGTCACCCATCTCTGGAGGAGGAAGGAAGGACAGCACAGGCTTAGGAGCAGTGGGAGGTGGGGCTGCAGGCTTGGGGGCTGCTGGTGATGAATACTGGTTTGGCAGCTGTAAATACAAGTTCAATAAGACGACATTAGTGAAGTAGAAAAAAAATTGCACAATTTAATCCTTATCCGTTTAAGTTATCATGTTGTAATTATTGTCACAGTTTGGCTATTTGGCACATACAGGATAAATAGGGGCAATAATAACAATGCCATACTGATGAGTGGAGAGCAAAAAGAGCGAATGTCTAAATAAAATCTAATACATAGAATAAATATATGACATGTATTATTGGTGTAGAGTGAGCTAAATGAAATGATTGAATTGTTTCTTACAAAACAGTAGTTTAAAAACAATCCCATTATTTTTTACTGTCAATAAATGTGAATCAAGTCAAAATGTTTTCTGCATTGAAACATACAGTATACAAATGTTTCAACAAATTTCACCAAATTTTTCATGGTAAAAAGTGCAATTATTAATAGTTCTTTGTCTTTCTGAGCAGAGAGACATAAATGGAAATTATTTTGTCCAGCTTTGTTTCTGGCAGCACCATTTTAAAAATCACAATTATCTCCATGAATCACAAAATATGTTCACAAACAGTTTTATTTGAGCTTTAGTCTGGGGCAGATTAATGTCAAATAATTATTTCTGGCAACATTTGAGCTAATTTCTGTAGGCAATTGTTTACAATGTATGAGTCATACTCCTCTGTTGGCCATTACTGCAAATATGCATCACTTTCTCCAAACAAAGTGTCTCTTCATATTAGTGCATGTTATGTGTCTGGATGTAGAGGGCTGAAGAGCATGTCGAGCATAATGTGAGCTGAACAAAGGAATGCTGATAGTGTGCATTATCTAAGAAATAAAAATAAAAAGGGTATGACGTTTTGTGCTTAGTTATGTGGTTTGTATTTCAGTTTTTTGATCGATTGCAAGGAATTGGCATGTTTGATATCCATAAATATAGCTCCCTTGTAGAGACAGCGTTGCTCAGTACCTTCGGGTTGAAGGGTCCTCTGGTCTCCATTTCAGACAACAGGTCGGTCAGAGAGTCCAGCTGTTTATCAAAGCTTGTCTGTTTCTCCATGTGTCTCTAAAAAACGTATGAATGACATTAGTTAGTTTGACATGTTTAATAAATATAATTTATTGAAAAATGACTTAACAATGGAAATAGCTACAATCTGTATATTTCAAGCTCCTGCAGTTCATTAATTCACTGTTTATATCAGAACAGTCGTTATCTTGGAGGACTTTACAAAATCGATCAATTGTTGCTGCCTATTTTTCACCACTGTATCCTGACTCAAGTCAAAAGATTACTTTTTTTTCTTACTATGAGGAAGAATAATTTGACAAGCTCCCACAATGCTTTTTGAGTCAAATGCTCGTGTATGTTGCATTGAGGTGTGGATTTAAAGAAAACCAAAGGATTTAACAAGAGCAAAAGTTCAAGATGAGGGACACTAAAATCCGCACAAAATCCGACCTGTAGGTTCTCTATCAGCTGAGGTCAAGCTGTTTTAGTATGATTATTAAAAAAAATATTAAATGTGATATTTACTGTGTTTTGTGAAAAGTTCCTACACAGGTACTACCTACTAGTAAAGCGTCACATTGATATGTTTATTACACAGAAAAACAAATCAAGTATATTCTTATTTATTTACCCCTTACTTTAAGGATCTTCTGCATATATGTGATTGTTTTGTTTTTTTGAGAGGCGGTGGACAGGACTCACCGCTGGGGTTACCACACTGCTCGCAGAAGCTGGAATAGGAGGAGGTGGTGGAGGTGGTGGGGGAGAGGGGCAGGTGGGTACACTGGCCTCAAACAGAACTGGAGGGGGCAGATCATCTGCAGGAGGAGGCAGATCATCCACCACGGGGGGAGGGGCAGGGAACGCGGGGGCATCACGCGAGGGAGACAAGTTACACTCAGGGGGAGGGGCTGGCAGGTCATCATCAGCAGGTGGAGGCGGAGGTGGAGGTGGGAAGTCTGAAAAAAAATATATATATAGTCACTTAGATGTTTGCTCTACACAAATGTACATAAAGTAGATATTTATGAACAATAAGAATCATACTGGAAATCTTATCTTTTCTAAATGTGGAGATTAATTAAAATCCTTGATTAACAGGCAGTTCTTTGTTTTGTTTTTACTTAGATCCCCATTAGCTACTGAACATTGAGTAGCTATTTGGTATATACTCAATATGTTACTACTAACTTTGAAATGGACAAAACTGGATGTGCAAACAAAAATGATAAAATAAAGATACCTAATAAAACACCCTTACTGTATGCTTAGACACATATAACTTTCAAGCACACACACTTTAAATAACAGCAAATAACTATTGGTTACATAACTGAAAAAGAAAAAGAAACCAGTCAAAAAAGTGTTAATTAGTTAGAAACCTGAAATGCACCTTAACAAGTACATATATTTAATACCTTGTTTAGGCTGGACGAGTAGGGTAAAACTTTGTAGTTCCAAACTTTGTATTTTATTTTTCATGACTATACCGGCTTGTCAATGCTTGATCTCGTAAGAGGTCGAAAGCAAAGCCAATCCTTTGTTACTACAGCGACGGGAGACTGCACTAAAGCCATTGTGAGGTTTTCCCTCCAAAATGTTTGTCCATCCTTAGGCAATTTACAGTCCTGTAAGAGTTGAATGAGCTAATGACAAGATTGTAAGCCTTGCTTTTCGGTCTCCACTCTGGAGCAACTGTGGCTACAATAGTAGCTTTCCACCATCAAATGTCAAGAAACAACATCTCCTCAGTCCGGACAGGTTACAGGTGACTTACAAAATCGAAATACTAGAAAGAACATTTACAGTAATCTACCAGTGTGTTTATGAGAACAAAAAGATATGTAGATACCGTCAATTGTTGGTGGAGGAGGGGGCAGGTCTCCCACTCGGCCGATCACCGCGGTGCTGGCTGGGGTCGGTGATGGAGCTGAGGGGGGAGTCTGGCTCTTGGGTCGTGGAGGTGCTACGGAGGCAAACTTCTTTGGCTGGTTGTAGAATGAGGGGGTGGTGACTTTAACATTTAATGAGGAAGTCACCATAAATGGCTTGCTGCTACTGTTGTCCATTTTATGTGCTTGTCTGTGGAAGAACGTAAACATTTGTTCAATTTTAACAGCTGCTCCTTAGTGACAAGAGGCAGTCCAATGCTGGTGACATCATGACATTGAATGGATTAATACTTTATTTCAAGCCATGGCAAACAAGAACAACAAAAGAAAACAACTGAATAGAAAAAGAGACATTACATGATAATATACAAATATACAGTATGTTTTGTTTTATTAGCAAAACGTTACACTAACTATGAATAGAGACAAAGGGTAAATAATGAGACAAATTAATGACAAATATTTAACTAGAGGTGTGCTACATATCTTTTCTTTTTAAAATATCAATATTTGAAACAAAAGTTTTATTTCTTTTGTCTTTAATAAATGACAAATGCAGTTGTATTTTTGTTGAAATTTGGCACGATAGATTTTTTCTCAACATTGAGTTGAAAGTCCCCTGTGTCAGGCTGAAAAATACTCAACCCTAGATGTGACAATATTCCAAATGTTATTTCTGTAAATATGATAATGTTGGCCATGTATATAAAAGTGTCCATGATATAAGATAAGATATTCCTTCTATTCATTTTTCTGCACATTAGTGGCAGTTCTATAGTGATAAACTCCTCCAACCTGGAACATGCTTTAAATGGGTCAAGGTATCCGATATTGTGGTAATTTAATTCAGCAACAGCACATCATTGTGACATAACTATTTATTATTACACAGATGAATCCAATATGTAAAAATAACATGTCTACAAGTAAACGTCATTCTTTGGCTCCTCGTACGTTCATGGCCATTGTTCTGCTCAGAGGCCAAAGTGCATGCATTCCTTGGTGGCGTAAGCGGCGAAGGCATTTTGTCAGTGAATTAGTGGTGACACATCAACAAAACATGTCCACAGTCGTTCACTTTAGCACACATAATCGTTACCAGACACCGACAGTGCACCACTGTATGACAAACCAACACCAATTAAGACTGATTCACGTTGGCTCTACAATAGTTCAGTTCAACACAAAAATCCGTTCAAAAACACCCTGTTGTTTCTTTGCCCATCTCTACGGAACCGTCATAGATTGTTATCAGGAAAGTCCACTTGGCTTTTATGACGTCTCAGAAGTTGTACATTGTGAATATGTAAAAACCAACACATCACAGCTAAAAATTACATTACCTCACGATTCAGTGCAATTTTAAGAGTGCCTACTGGAAAAAGCTAAGATATCATTTATTTTTCCCACAGTTGGGAAATTTCAAAGAGAATTTAGAGTATAGTTTAAGAGATTTGACTTTATTTTAAGAGGATCCATGTTATGAATAAAAAAAAAATTACCTCAAATTACCGCGCAAATTAAAATCACAATATGACAAATAATACAAATAAAATAAATAATCCTAAATGGACACATGGCGTGATCCTATTCATTAATTAGCATTTTTGTCTGAAAACTAACCTCATTTGAATACATTTTAAATCAAGCTGTAATGCTGTTCAATTGAACTGACCATTTTCAGAACCTACGTCAGAAAAAGGAGCTCAAATATTACACTTTGTGGTTAACAAATGTTGATCTAACCTCAAAGTCTCCGCCAAAAATTCCTCACCAAGTCTAAACAGATTTCTCAGAACAGCCTTTTTACTTCAGACTTTAAAGACACACAAAAACCCTTGTGGAATATGCAATTGCCACCTAGTAGTGATATATGCTTTCTTCCTGACATTTGAAATAAATCGTATTCCTATATAAGAAAGGCAAAATTGGGCTTTGGCTTTTTATAAGGAGGCATTTTTTCAGCTGAAAAATTGTATGACAATTTCCCTTTAATAGAACATTGTCAGAAGGGGCAGGTGTCATTTTACCCTAATTCTGGAGGTGTTCAGCAAATCGAGCCGTACTACCGGTTTGCAATAAATGAAAGGATTTATTTTGCCACCAAATGCTAAACAATGTTCAAATATAAGCATTTGAGCATTGTACATGACATTTCGCTACTAAAAAAAACACATTATTCAAAGCATTATACTACGAGTGAGCAATTAATCATATTCAAGATCATAATTCTGTCTTACATCAGAAAAAATGCATAATGTATGTGAAAGCAAAATTCTGGCTTTAGTGGAGAAATAATAATCGTGCAAATGTCAAATGAAAAGGCATGGGCTTTGTTCAACATTGTACAGTGTTGACGTTTTTCTACATAATGATGCAGCTGTTCCTTGTATCTCATCTTCATTCCATTTTGGTTGGGACATGGGCAACGGTTCAAGTTCTGACAAGACAACATGCCTGTAGTGCTCAGTCTCCTTCTGTTTCTATTCTCATTTTAGTTACTTCCTCCAAATGGTAAAACTATATATTTATTGTAATCGTATACAGTGTCTCCAATTCATAAGTGTAGTTACTAAAGGAATAGTCGCAACTTTTATACTTTTATATTTTATACTTGCTTTGTTATGCTAAAATTAGATATTTTATTTTAGTATAGAGGTGATCGATTATTTATCTTGTGTTGTGTGCTCCTCAGTCATACTGTTCTGTTACTGGTGATGCAACACTGAAATTTCCCCACTGTGGGATGAATAAAGGATCTCTTAATCCTCATCTTAATATATATGAGATTTCATCCATCGTTTATAATGTTGTTTTGTGTGACCAGGGTTTTGAGGGGAAGAACATCATAAAGCAAGGATTCATAAAAGGATTTGTTTGCTGAGTGGATAGCACTCTCACTTCTTAGCAAGAATGTCCTGGGTTCGAATCCCGGTCGGAACAGGGCCTTTCTGAGTGGAGTTTGCATGTTCTCCCCGTGTCTTACGTAGGTGGAGTGAGAGACAAATGCCCAAAGAAAAAACAATTGTAAAGCGCTTAGTGACTGTGGTCTTTGAAAGGCGCTATATAAATAAAGATTACTTGCTTATTTAATAAATAGGAGTGTTGTATAGAGAGCTGAAATTAGTGGAACATAAGAACCGAAAGCCATTAAAATTATTATCATCATTCTACTTAGTTGTGTCTGATTTATATAGTAAAGTAAATATTATGTAGCCCTTTAAGATTCATATTGGCATATTCATGCAACATCAATTTTACATACATGTCCATAATGTGTAACATATTTGACAAGTAAAGTTTAAAATGAGTTTATGACTTGCGTGTGGCTATATATTATTGTAAAAAGTAAAAATCTAACTAGATTCTTACAACATTGGGAAGAAGCTTTTCAGATTTTTGCAACTAAAATCTTGAAGTCTTCCTGAAAATGTGAGACAGGCTCCTCTGGGTTCTTGGAAGCTGCTAATGATAAAACAGTGTTTATTGTGATTTTATCCTTCCATTAGCTTCATGTAACTATCCTGTCTCTGACAGACAATGTTTAATGGTCCTCAATTATTCAACAGTGAGAATACTTTGTCCCATCTGTTTCTCCATATTGTCCCACAGGAGTAGTTTCCCCCCCTCCACTCACTCATACCTCATACCTCCATCGTCCGCATGAGGTAACCCGATCCTGCGGAGTGGAGCCCCTGATCCACGACCACTTTTGGCAGTGCACCGTCCTCAATGACATCATCCCTTTGCTTTGCACTAAACACTCACATCAGATTTGTAGATGTTTTCACAAGATTAAAACCAGACTCTCTGCATCATCGTGTTCTATATTCCAGTTATCTGTTTCTGATTCCATTTTTTCTTTCCCACAGGTTTTTACATGCATGTGAAATTATAGTCTCGTCTCATTCTCGTAAATATACAGTGTGGGAAGAGTGTCTTATTTCCCAAGAACCATATGTAACACATGGTTAGGGTCGACTATCGACTGCAGCAACTTGTCTGCATTGCTTTGGAAGGCTCCACATCATTAAACTGATCCCGGTGTTTCAATAAAAGGCTGGGAATCTCTGGCTCCCTAATAGGGCTGGGTTAAACGATTATTTTTAAACGATTAATCTAGCGATTTTTTTTTATGCATCGATTAATCTAACTATTCATTTTTTTCAGTCCGATTCGATTTCGATTATTGCCTCATTAATTGACTAATATCAATGTATACAAGTTGATTTACATATCTGAATTAAAAAACAAATTCCTTAACAAAATATATTTATTGCTCTTAAAATTCAAAAATAAAATTCAAGTAAGAGTGTACAAGAGACAAATAATGCATTCTGATGTCTAGAAAATAAAAAGTTCACCCAGCCACCTTTTCTTAGAGCTACTGAAAGACTACAGAAACTATTGTAAACTTGGGGGCTTTAGCTAATACAGAAAGTGACTTTCCAACAAAAAATAAATAATGAGAATAAACATTTAGAATTCAACAGTTATGTTGAACATAACGTGAGAGTTGTCACTCTCCAGTGACTGTAAACTAGCACAGCTAGCATGTTTGCAGATGCGGAAGTACCGTCTAATAATAAAATAAACAAATGGCGCACCTCCGTGAACACATACTGCTGTTATATAAAGTCTCTGGAAGGTCTATGTACACAGAAACGCTACGTGGAGAAGAACTTTGCACAAAAAGCCGCAAAAAGCAAAAGCACTTCCGCTACTTACGCTGGCCGCCACCGCAGCCCAGGACAACTGGTCTGAACACCCCTAGAGTCTGAAGTTTAGAAAATGTGCGTCTACTGCGCGTGGAAACTGCGTTCCAGCGTCAGTGGGCTGAGCCCCCCCAGACAGCACTCGTGTTGCTACTACTCGCTGCCATCTTTTTTGAGTCTCGTTTTGAGTCTGACGAATCAACGCGCATATTATTTGCGTCGACGTCATCGATTACGTTGATGCATTGTCCCAGCCCTACTCCGTAACGATTCAAAATGGAACTCACAATAAGGCCTGCAAGATACATCTATAAAATATTGTCATTGCGATATTGGTACGTGCGATGAAAAGATGCCCAATCATTTTGATATTTATATAAATTATGTAAATGTTGATATTTATGTAAAGATTATGTAAATTTCTTGTATGCACACTGTGACGAATCTGCGACCTAGAGCCGCCACACTATACAGT